ACAGGTACACATACACAGGTATATCACACTCACCAGCTACTTTGTTAGGTACACCTTCTTATTGCAGCTACTCAGTACATTTAGGCATGTAGATATCAAGACAACCTGATGACGTGCATCAGCACAGGGAAGAAGGCTGATTCAAGTGACGTTGAATGTGGTGTGGTGGGTGGTGCCAGGCAGAGTGGTCTGAGTATTTCAGAAACTGCTAATCTGCTCAGATGTTCTTGCACAACTCTAAGGTTTGCAGAGAATGAAAAAGAGAGGTCAGGGGAGAATGGGTGGACTGCTTCGAGCTTAGAGTGGGCAACAGTTACTCAAACAACCAAGGTATGGAGAAGAGCATAACTGAATGCATCAAACCTTGGAGCAGGTGGGCTTCAGCAGCAGAAGACCATGGTGGGTGCCACTCCTATCAAGCAAAGAACAGGAAACTGAGGCTACAATTTCCATGTACTCAACAGAAAATCTTGGTTTCTGCTACAACATTTTGGTCATAGGGTCAGATTTGGCATAAACAACATGATAGCAGGGATCCATCCTGCCTTGTATCAATGATTCAGCCCGCTGATGGTGGTGTAATGGAGTGCAGATGATTTTCTCGGCACACTTTGAGCATCATTTAAGCAACACAGACTATCTGAGTGCTGTTACTGACCATAACCATTCTTTTATGACCACAGTGTGCTCATCTTCTGATGCCCTAATTCCAAAAGGATAACACACCATGTCATAAAACTCAAATCATCACAAACTGGTTTCTTGAACATTGACATCGACTTCACTGTACTCAAATGACCTGACCTCCACAGTCACCATATCTCAGTCCAATATAGCACCTTTGGGATGTGGTGGAATGGAAAAAGTCATATCATGGATGTGACAAATCTGCAGCCACTGTGTGATGCTATCATGTCAATAGGAAGCCAAATCTCTGAGGAATGTTTACAGCACCTTGTTGAGTCTGTGCCATGATGGACTAAGGTAGTTCAGAAGGCAAAAGAGGGTCCAACCCAGTGCTAGCAAGGTGTACCAAACAATAATGTTTTCTGTAATCATGGAAATATAAAGAAACAGAACATTAAGTTGTTCTGCATACAGCCAGTTGAGGGCAGTCTAGTCCACTCTGGAGTCCAATAGCGCAACAAATCTGTTTCTCTGCTGGACAGTTTACCTTTGTTTAGCATTAGCTTCTAGCTACATGGCCTAACAGTGAATCAGTGATCACTGATGATTTCAAATATGTCATATCTATGCAATGTTATGCAATATAAATATCAATATGACCTTTTTAAAATATTTTGTCACAAATAAAAGATCCTGCAAAAGG